AGCCACCATAGGCTACCTGAGACCCTGTCTAAAAAAAAAAAAAAAAAGTACATTCTGTACTGAATGCAAAGCTCTAGAGTGAAGTCTGCCAACCTGCTGAGCCAACGCCCTAGAGAATCTTGATGTACAGTGAGTCTAAGAAACAAAGTGTTTCATGAAGTGGTCATTGCTGATCCCACTTTAGAAATAAGTAAACCAAAGCTCAATGACTGAAGGGTCCCACACCACCCAGCCAGGAGGCCCACTAGGCCCTACACCAACTCCAAAGCAATCTGCTACAAGGCATTTGCAGCCAAACTGTCTGGGCTATTTGGCGCTCTCCACTTTTGAGCTGCAGGATGTGAGCGATGTCACAATGACATTACCAAAGAGGGGTGGCAGCAGAGGAAGAATGCAGCCTGCACTCAGAAGTGATTAATTATAAATGCTTTTAAATCAACATCATGCATTAGCCCTCAATGGCCAGCCATCCCTCAGGACAAGCCTGCTTCTCCCTATTCCATTTGTCAGCCTTACATGACCAAGAGCTGGAGTCTCTTTATTTACAGCTCTCTATGGACCCAATTCCTTCCACTGCTTTGAGCAGAAAGAGAATTGAGTTACCTGTTCTTTCTCTATAACAGGCTTAGAAGAACAGGCTTAACAGTACAGCACACTGTATGGACCAGGACGAGCCAGAAATGGAACCAGGAAAAGGCCTTTCTAGGCCCAGAAACAAAGTTCGCTCCAGGAGCTGCGAGAACTAGGAATGAGTCACCAAAAGAACCCAGCACACTCTGAGGAAGCACTGTACTATGTTCCTCAGACCTGGCTCAAGGGAGGCCTGCTTCTAAATCAAATCTAAATAAAGCATCTATCATATAAAGTAGCCCGTTGAATTACTGACACTCAAACCACAGTGTTTCCACATATCCTGAGGTTAGGAGAAAGCCAGGAACCTTAAAACTTATTCACAATTCCCAGCCTAGGAGGTTGGATGGTAATCTCCAGATCATACCCTACAATGCCAAGGAATGCTCATATGGCACTTTCTATAGACACTAGTATCAATACTGATTATGCTGGATCCTTACGGGTAACTGAACCTGGCAGTCTAGTCTTTCCCCTCATAGGTGTTAAACCCAATCCCATGCACTGATGTAAGCGGTTCTGTTTGCTCTTCTGTTTTTAAAAGATGTTGAAAGAGTTTCAAGATTTTAAGACCTGAACAACTTAGCTGTCTGCCTGGAAATAGGTCAAACACACTCCTAGATCGAAGTAACTGAATACACACACTTAACTGCATGGACACTTATTTCACTGCACTTGTTTATCTAAGTTTCTATTTTTAGGTACTATGAACAAACTAAGTAAGAAAGGAAATTCTACTGACATCACAAAGTTTGTCAATTTTCAAAAACTCACCAGCTGGAGGACTGAGAATATAGCTCAGTGGTAGAGCACTTGCCTAGCATCTGTGAGGCCTTAATTTCAATTCTTAGTACTGCACAAAATAATCTGCTCCACAGTCCTTTCACAACACATATGACAAAAACAAAATGTGCTCTTTCCATCCTCAACAATCTTGGTTATATCATCCACCATTACTCAGCCTGTTACCTTGCAGTACGTCTCTTCACCTTCAGACTAGACTTCTCAAATGAGAGCAAAGGTACAATATTCGAAAGTCCAACATACCTACTCAACTTCTAGCTCTATAACTTACTGTTGCCTTTGTCATCTTAGGCATATGACATGTTCCCTGGGTCTCAGTTTCCTTATCTACATAAGCAGAACAATACCCGAATAGCTGTCACATGACTGCTGGGCCAACATGAGTTTATGCTGGAGCAAAGTTGAACAGTACTGATACAAGATCAATAAAACCATGTCCTCCTGCCCCCAAGACTACTTACTACAGACTTTTACTTAACATCACTGCATGTCACAGACTGAGCTGGACCTTGGAAAAGTAAAGACCCAACAACCACTGGCCTCAAAGATGTCAGTCCCATCATGTGTGAAACGTTCTAACACATTGTGTAGGTTGGGGAGGCTGGGAGAACAGAGGAAGGCTCTAAATATTGATGGAGCTGGCAAAGGTCTCCTTGACAGACAGGTTTGCTTAAACCCAACATACTTGTCCAAAAGACAAGAGCCAGGCATAGTAGCCCATGCCTATAATTCTAGTCCTGGAGAGGCTGAGGCAGGAGGATCAGGAGTTCTAAGCCAGCCTGGCCTACACAATGAGAGCCTACCTTAAAAAAAAAAAAAAAGTCCAGCAGTCAACGGAGAATAGAACTGCATAATTGCTGACTTTCTCTCCAACCTCAAGCCCCCAAATCCAAACCCTCCGACTCCCCAAGGTTCAGGGTCATCAGGTGCTCAAGTCACAAAATAATCGCAGCTCATCAACAGGACAGAAAGACTCTGCAAACTGTGAAATTTTATACACTCTATTCTCTTAGCACTCTCTATTCCACAAAGAATTGAAATTTGCCACTCTTTTCGGGTCTTTTTGAGACAAGGTCTCCCTGAAGCCCCAGCTAGCCTGGAACTCACTATGTAGACCAGGCTGGCCTGGGAACTATTTGTCTGCCTCTGCCTCCCAAGTGCTGGGATTAAAGGCAAGTGTTACCACACCCATCAAAACTTGCCACTCTTAATGAAACTAAAAACAAACAAAAAAGCTGGGCTTGGTAGCACACACCTTTAATCTCACCATTCAGGAGACAGAGGCAGGTGGACCTCTATGGCTTGAGTCTAGCCTGATCTACATAGTTTTAGGATAGCTGGGACTATAGGGATCCTATCTTTAATTAAAAAAACAACAACAAAAAAAATCTAATATCCTTTAACTTCAGGAAAAGCCAAACCATTAAAATAAGTTGGAGTCTCCAAAACTTTTCAACTACTTTCACAGGGCTCTTATCAGAATATCCACTCTTGGGAAATCCAAGTCTTATTATAAAAGATTATGTAAGGGGCAACTGTATTTCCACAGAGGGTTTCTACAAAGGATGGGTCATTTTCTGAGACTATGCACACCATGCCAAGCACTATCACCTAAAAGTCTCACATTTCTGGGCTGGAGAGATGATGGCTTAGCTGTTAAGAGCTTTTACAAAAAGCTTTGCTTTTATAAAGGACCTAAATTCAGTTCCCAGCACCCACTTCAGGCAACTCAAACCACCTGTAACTCCAGCTCCAGGGGATCCCACACCCTCTTCTGGACCTCCTGCACACCTGCACTCACAGGTGCATGTTCTCCCACACACAAATAATGTTGTAATTTTAAAAAAATAAGACTTTATAAAAAAGGAAAGTTCCACATCCCATCATAACTCAAAAGCTTGGCACCATATACCCTGCAGGGGAAACTTTTCTTCCCTCTAGCCCCAGGTTCGGGGAGAGATGGGAGTACCCCATAGGATTATCCAAACCTGCTCCTGATGCAGCAGCTTGTGGGATGCAGAGAGTCCTGAATCACCAGGTCCAGTCATTTGCACTTTACCAAACTCTCTGTTTACAAACAGTCCAGCAAGACAAGACTGGTACAGATAACTTGCCTAGAGAAACTTTAAAACTAGGAAAACAAACTTTAACTTCGTAAAAGCAAAAATACAGATAAATAAAAGATCTACAGGTGCTTCTCCAACACAATCATTTGTTCAAAATACAGGCACTTGAACTACCATTCAGAAACAAACTGCAGTTCCTCCCCTGTAACTATGAAAATGTAATTACCACCGCAAGCACCATCACTGCTGTGTGCATTCAGTATCTGCCCTTACACTCCATATCCAGAGTTACAAGTTTCCTGCTAAATCTTCATTATGTTACATAATGAGGATGTCGGGCATTGAAACTCACGTTTTTCAGTCATTTCAACCTCCATTCCAATCCCTTCTTTCACAGGGTATTTTCTGGAAGTGCAAACGAAAATTTCACACTTCTCATCTTTCCCTGCCCTTTTTCTTGCGCGAATGTTAAAAATAACAGGCAAGGAACTGGGAGGAAACCTTAACGTATCTTTAAAGGAATTCCTAAGTGCTGTGGAGCATCCTAGAGATGGAGCTTCCAGTTGTGGCACTGACATCCTATCTCCGGGTGACCTTGAGCAAACCAATTCATCTCTGGTCCTCAGTTTCCCCCATCAAAATCACAACGAACGATGGCTAGTCCCATCCTTTCTGAAGCAGGCTTCAAGCGCGCCCCCAAGGCAGCACTACAGTGCAGAGGCCGTTCGGAGGGCCCGAGAATGGAGTACTTTCACCAGCCGTGCTGGGGTATCTAGGGGGCTCGGACTGCCTTCCCCCTGCAAAGCCACTGGGCCAACTTCAGGTTGTAAACAAAAAAACCTGCTGGCCCGGACTTCAGGAAGGGCAACGCACTCGGGGAAGCCGCCGCAAAGGAGGGGAAGGGTCTCCAAGTACAGGCCGGCCCCACGCGTCTATTCACCCAACCCCGACTAGCCTCCAGAGCCGCCGGGCCGGGTCTCTGCCATCCCACGCGAAACAAAAGGCAGCTGGAGCCCGACTTCGCCCGACTTCGCCGCCCCCGTCCCCGCTGTGCTGTGGAGTGGGGGCTGTGGAGGGGAGCCCAGTCCGGGGGCGGGAAAGGGACCGCTCCAGACGGAAGGACAGGGATTCGAGCCGGGAGCCTGGACCGTGAAGGGGAGGCCGGCCGATACGGGTGAGAAGATCGGGAAGGAAGGGGCGCGGGGCCGGGAGGGCAGGAGCTTGCTCCGGGGAGGGCGGGGTTGCTCCAGACTGAAGGGCTCCCGAGTGAGGTGTGAGGCGAGGACATTAAAGAGCACCCTGGCTGGGAAGCCCGGGTCCCGGCTCGGAGAGCGGCACCAGGTGGGGCGGGGCCCAGCTGAGCCGCGTCCAGCCGGGTGGGGTCCGGCTGGCCACAGGGTGCACCCCAGACCGGCGAAGGCGGAAAGCTTGTACTCCCGGGGCGTCCGCGCTGCGCCCCGCCCAGGCCCGGAGCCCCGCGCCCCGCGAGTCCCGGCTCACCTCCGCTGCCCGCCCGCGCGAGTGCACGGCTGCGGCCGCCGGCGACGCTGGAGAGGCGGGAGCCACCCGAGCTGGGGCAGCGTTTGACACCCACACGCCAGCCAACATGGCGGCCGGGAGGGGGCGCGCCGGCCGCGTGCGCGCGCGCGCGCAAACCCCGCCCCTCCGGGCAATGAGGCTCCGCCTCCGCTCATAGACTCCGCCCCGAATGCCCCGCCCTCAGAACGCTGAGGCCCCGCCTCCAGTCTTCTCCGCCCCGCCCACACGTGACACCAAGACCTCCTGCAAGTAACTAAGGGAGTTGCTGATGCCATGCCGCCTACACACATGCTCAGGAGTCTTAACTGAGACCCCGACAGTTCCGCACTCCAGCAACCCTCCACGCTAAGCACATTATCCTCACCCTAAATCCACGCTCCTCCCTTAAACCCGCATGCACAGAACCCCGCCCATCCCACTCAGAACCTCTGCCTCTTACCATTGCAACTTGGGGCTTCAAAAATATTGTCAAGAGGCAGAGACTGGAACCAGGCCCAGGGCCTCCCAGAAGCTGGTCAAAGTTGATTTATTTTAGCTACAAGTGTATTCACTTCGTGAAAATTCACTAGCGTTTACTTCAGATGTGTGCGCTTTACCGTACGTGCATTATATTTCAAAATGTATTCAAAAACTGTTGTGAGGAGTCCAAAGGCTTCTGCAAATGGCCGAAGTGGTTGAAGGCACTCAGAGGTGGAACCCTCGACCCATTTGGCTCCTCTTGGCTCCCCTTGGCTCTCCTTGGCTTTCCTTGGCTCACCAGGCCCCTGGGCTTTAGCAATCCCTAATGCAGTTCTGCATAGTCTCACACATGGACACAATACAGCAATGTGAAGCACTACTTTGTTTTTACCAAGTAAGGAGAGCTGTGTGCCAAGCCATGTGCTGGGCACCAAGACAAGACGAAATGCAAACAGTGCCCTGCCCAAGGAGGCAGGCAAGGCCAGGCCTTTCCCCTGGGAGGTTCTGCGATGGATCAGAACTGGAGGCCAGATCTCAAAACTTCACCAGAGGGTCTAGGACATGTATCAGGGCTTCAAAAGACATGGGGCACCATCTCTGTTGCCAGTCTGTGCCCAGAAATCCCATTCTGCCTTTGCTTGCTGAAGGATCATTACACTTCTCCTAACCACAGATTCATTTTCCCTACAAAGGATTCAGATTGGTCTCATAAACTGGGAATCTAGAGTCCTCATCTCTGGCAAAAATACAATAAAGCTGGGTGGAGGGCACCACTAACATATCTTCAAACTTACATAGTCACTTTTCATTTATTTATTTATTATTTTTATTTTATATGTATGAATGTATTGCCTACATGTAAGTGCACCTTTGTGGTGCAATGCCAGGGGAGATCAGAAGAGGGTGTCAGATCCCCTGGAACTGGAGTTACAGATAGTTGTTAGCTGACATATGGGTGCTGGAAATTGAACCCGGGTCTTCCAAAAGAGCAGTCAGTGCTCTAACCGGGGTGAACCATCTCTCTAACCCCTGCTCACTTTTCTTTTGAAAGTCCAACTTGGGGAAGTTCTGGATATTAGAAGCCCTTGCTCATACCTTGCTGCATATTCAGTGTCCCTCCATATCCCTCCTCACCTAGTGTGAATCATACTTTACATGCCTGCTTTGCCATGAGAACTGTTGCTCCTTTGAACTTGGTTCATCAGGAAGGGGAGGACAGGTGTGTGATCCCTTCCCCCCCTATCACAAGGTCACAGCCAACTCTCCTAATAACAAAACACTGGTTAAAAAGAGAAAAAGATAATGCTGATATGATCATTTATGTGGCCAGGAAACTTTCAGGAGTGAAGACCCAGAAAAAGCTGTCTGCCTATATGTTTTGGTTGGTGAAGAATGAACAGCCACGTAGAGATGTAACTGGACAGAAGGGGACAGCCTCATGTAACAGATAAGGGGCTGGGGAGTCCAGCAAGGCTTGTCTGTTTAGATTCTTCTTGGCCTCTCTGTAAGGGCATTCCTTTCTGGAGATAATGTAGAACCCTTCCGAATGGAAGATCTTATGACCTACAGGGTAGGTTAGAGAACTTCTCTACGGCCAGCTCAGGCAAAATGAGATTATGAGAATCTGTCTAGGTTTATGGCTAGATTTGGAATTCTGGTTTCTATGACTTGTTTTTTTTGGGGGGGGGGCGGGGATTAAAGGAGAACAGGAGAAAAGAAGGGTAGGGAAGGATCAGAAAGAAACTGCTGCTGACCCCTTTCCAATGTCCTTCAAAGTACTCAGCATGCCAAAGATCACACTTTGGCCCCAGCAACTCCATTGTGGAGAATGGAACTCTACATTAAAATTATGACCCTGCCCCAGTTTACAGCTTCAGACTGTCAGTAACAGTAAGGCAGGAGCAGAGACCTGACAGCTCCACACTGAGCCTGAAGCAGCCTGAGAAACTGTTTTCAGAGACTTCCACTCAGATGAACCCAAGGTGGGATAAAAAGACAAAAAAAGTTATGAGGACAAAAGAAAGAAAAAGAGCTCCTCACTCCAGCGTCTGCTTGAAACCTCTTTCCAACTAAGAGCCAAGAATTTCACCACAGTTAACATTTGCTGTGAAGGTTTCCAGCATAGAGACACTATTTGTTTTATATAGAAATATTTTCAAATCAGAATGTTTAAATTCAGGGCTGGAGAGATGGCTCAGTAGCTAAGAGCACTGGCTGTTCTTTCAGAAGACGGGGTTAGAATCCCAGCACCCACATAGCAGCTAACAACTGTTAACTCCAGTTCCAGGGAATCCAACACCCTCTTTTGTTCTCCTTGGGCACTGCACTACACTCCTCGGGTGCACTAACACACATGTAGGCATAACACTCATACACATAAAATTAAAAACTAAATAAATAAAAAAAAAAGATTGTTTAAATTGCAGTAAACCATGCTTAAAGCCTGAATGTATATGGCTTTAAGTAGGGCCTCACTTTTCTGGGAATCTTACAGACAAAACTATTAACCTTTGTTTACAGTGAAGATGTCCTAACTTTTTGCATTCCTGTGATCTAGTATTACCTTTTCCAATTGTAATTCTGTCAGGAACACCACTGGAACCACCACTCCCAGCTTAGATTGTATGTGTGTGTGTGTGTGTGTGTGTGTGTGTGTGTGTGTGTGTGTAGATGGGTACTCATGGAGGCTAGAAGGGAACCTCAGATCCCCTGGAGCTGGAGTTGCAGGCATTTTTGAGCAGCCTGATGTGGGTGCTGGAATCTAAACTCCAGTTCTCTGGTAGAGCAGTTAAGTGCTGTTAACATCTAAGCCATCTCTCCAGCCCAAGAGGAAATTTTTAATAGATTTAAACACAGAGGCTCATAGAAAAAGGAACTCAGGGAAAGAACTAGCTATACCCAAGTGTGGGTGTGGGCTTCTCAAGAGAGAATCAAACTTAAATGATCTTTCCAATAGTCATATAAACAATTTTGTTGACTTCTGAAGTTTCATCTGAAAAAATTGCTAAGGAATTTAAATGAGATCATAGGGTGGTTCCCAAAGTACATTGGCGGGATTATAGCTGGTAAGACAAAACCCTAGGCCACAAAACTAGCACCTGGAAGTAAGGTATATATTTACTATAAATAAGTTTGCAGTCTTGTTTGTGAGATAACCAGAAAATTACAGACTAACATCTAGGAAAGGCCCTATATGTATAGGCCTCAAGTCTGGATGATTGCTTTTTTTTTTTTTCTTTCTGAGATGGTCTGCCTGTAGCCACAGCTGGCCTGGAACTTGCTATGGACACCAGGCTGCCATTAGCCTCACAGAGATCCATCTGACTGTGTCAGGAGTGCTGGGATTAAAGGCATGGGGCACCATGCTTGGCTTCTATTTAACACTCTTATCTGAAATATCCCCATATAAAAGGAATATTGAACTGGAGATATGGCTCAGAGATTAAAAGCACTGGATGCACTTGCAGAGGACCTGGGTTCAGTTCCCAGCACCCACATGGCTGCTCATGTTGACAACTACCTGTAACTCCAGTTCCAGGGGATCCAGTACCCTCTTCTGGCCTTCAAGGGCATTGTACAACACAGATGCACTTACATACATGTAAGACACAACACTAATGCACATAAAAAATAAATAAATAAAAATGAAAACAAATTTTTTTTTTTTTGGTAACCCCAACTGGCCTACTGGAGCTCTCTATGTAAACCAGGCTGGACTTGAACTCACAGAGATCCACCTGCCTCTGCCTCCCAAGTGCTGTGATTAAAGGCATGCACCACCACACCCGGCTATTTTTTTTACCAGCCTTCATAGCAAATTTTGTTAATTATGCCAAAATTATTTTTTAAGTATAATTTTAATATGTTTTTCACTTTTTGTACTAAAGCAGTTGAATCGCTCAACTATGTGGTTCCTGGGGATCGGAGTCAAGTCCTTAGGTCTGGCAGTAAGGGAACTAATTGCAAAAGAATTCAAATTTCTTCTGTCAAAAGAATGATCACAGGAATGTAACCTTTGTAATGCTATTTTGGAATCCACCCACCACCACCAATTTTAACTTTTGTTTACAACAAGGAATTCAAATCTATTAATCCCTACCCCCCCATCTAGTAAAATTTTTGTTTACAAAAAGCTTCTACTGCATTCCTGGAACTTGATGGCCTGGAGCAGCCCCTCCCCCTTCTCCTCCATTTCCTTTGTGCCAATTATTTTTAAACTAGTCAATCACTAAAGACTGTAAGGTCAGAGCCCAGACCTTGGAGAAAGGACACAGTACTCCTGGGTTAGAATAAAAACCTATCAATGCAAACCCTGGTAAGTAAAAAAGTAAAAGCTGCCTTACCCAGTTACTTTTGTTTTGTCTACATACATGTTCTTTGTGTGGTAGTAGTGGGTCCATGAACCTCAGATTTAATTTCTAACAATCACAAGCAGCTTTACCTGCAGAGCTGTCTTACCAGCCCTATGCTAGAATTTTTTTTTTTAAAACCAGGCAGCCCCGGCTGGCCAAAAATCGCTATGTAGACGAAGCTGGCCTTCAACTCACAAGTGCTGGGATTAAAGGTATGTGCCACCATGTCTGAGCCTGTGCTGGGATTCTTGACTCTCTGCTGGTGATAGATTTCAACTAGACTCTAGAGTGAGGGGCTCCT